TACTGTAACGCCATGAAACGCAATCTAGAGTTGGGATATATCGAACGCGCAATGGGAGAGGTCGAAAAGTAGCAACTATTGTGGTACCTTCCGCACCACCCTGTCCTAAAGCCCAAGAAAACTCAGAAGATCCGAGTTGCCTCCGATTGTGCTGCCAAATGTGCCGGGATTGCCCTAAATGACCGTCTATTACAAAGCCCAGACCCAACAACTCCACCGATTGAGGTGCTTTGCAGATTCCGGCTGGGGTCAGTTGCAGTAGCGGCTGATATCGAGGAGATGTTCATGCAGGTCAAAGTCCCCGAAGGGCAAAGGTATGCTCTACGGTTGTGGTGGTGGCCGGATGGAGAAATAGACTGACCTTTCCAGGAGTATCGGATGACGATGCACCCGTTTGGCGCGATATCTTCTCCCTTCTGTGCAAACTTCGCGTTAAAAACGACCGTGACTCGATTTGCTCAGCATTTCGAAACCCCGGTGGGCTCCTGTGTTGAACATAATTTTTATGTGAACGACTTCCTGAGATCCTTTGATAACATCGAGGAAGCAGTTCGACACGTTAGGGATCTATCCAAGGTACTGCTCATGGGAGGGTTGAAGTTGACCAAGTGGATGTCCAACAGTCGTCATGCAATCGATTGCATCCCAGTCGATGAGCGGGCGCCGAGTCTCCGTGAATTGCAGGGGAGTCCGTTGCAAAAAGATAGAGCACTCGGTGTGCAATGGGACTCAGAGAAAGACGAATTCTTGTTCCAACTCCAGTTACCTGAGACGACAGCGACTCGCAGAGGAATTCTGTTTTCGTTGGCCAGCCTTTACGATGCAATGGGGTTCGTCGCACCGTGGCTACTACCGGGCAAGATTCTGCTGCAGGACTTGTGTAGAAAAAGGGTGAGACCCTATGCGAGGCGGATCACAAGACCTGGCAAAGCTGGTAGCTGAAACTATCCAAGTAGGGCGGAATACGACTTCCTCGACCCATACCAGGAATGCACAAAAGAGAGAAAAGTGAGTTAGACATTTTTTCGGACGCGTCGGAGGTGGGATACGGGGTGGTGGCCTACGGTTGCTCGTCTCGGCGAGGAGGAAGAAGGCATAGCAATATTCTGTTCGCGAAGGCCACGATTGCCTCTAAAGTCAGTCTCAATACCCAGGCTACAACTGGCCGCAGCAGTATTGGCCGTGAGGGTGCTCAAAAGTGAGGTGCTCAAAAGATGTTTTAGCTCGATTGAATGGACTGCAACCTCCTGGAACGACTCCGCTATAGTTCTTCACTACGTTAGCAATGTACGGACGCTCTTCAGCGCGTTTGTTGCCAACCGGTTGGCTGTCATTCACGAAGAAATGGAGGTGGGTCAATGGCGGCACATTAAATCCTGTGACAATCCAGCAACTGGTTATTCTGAGAGGACTCCGACCTGACGACACCTTGAATATTGGGCCAATCGTTCCAACTGAATTGAAAACAGCAGAAGCCGATGTTGTTCGCATGGTTCAATCACAAGCCTTCCCGTCGGAGCTTCAGAGGTTAGGCAAGGGGAACCGTGATTCCGACCGACGTGCATTACGTTGCAGTTTTCTCCGAAGACTCTGTCCAATATTGATAGATGGGTTGCTGAGAGTAGGCGGAAGATTGACAAACTCTGAGTTGGACTGTGACGCTCAACGTCCCATCATCTTGCCGGGTAATCACCACATCACTCACACACTCATCATACATATTCACACGCAGGAAGATCATGCTGGGGAAAATCATCTACTCGAGACGATTCGCTGTCGGTTTTGGATAGTGAAAAGGAGAGCTACGGTGAAGCGCATCGTGGGCAACTGTCTCTTTTGTTGTCGGCAGAATGCTAAGCAAACAGATTGATGGCCTCGTTACCCAGTTCTCGAGTGCGACCAGGTTAGTGGCCGAAACTGGGGTGGACTACTTCGGGTCACTATGGATGAAACGAAATACGTCGATGGAGAAACGGTACGGATGCCTGATGACCTGCCTGCAGTCACGAGCTTTGCATATAGAGACCGTGCACAGCATATCGACCGACTCCTTTCTTATGGCCTGGCAGAGATTCGTGGGTAAACGAGGCAACCCATCGAATGTGTTCTCCGACAACGGGCCCACTTTCGTCGGTGCACAAAAGGAGTTGAGCAACTGGTTGATGCGGTTAGACAACTGCGCCCTGTAAGACCGACTGTCGCCATTTGGAACCCAATGGCACCCTACAGCATTCACCTCGGAGGAGTTTGCGAACGGCTTATACTATCGGTGCGAAAAATATTGACAGCATTATGTGAACAACAGGCGCCGGACGCCGAAACTTTGAGTACAATTCTCGTAGAGGCGGAAAGGATACTCAACAACTGACCGCTTGCACCCGTCACCAGCGATGACCTGCAAGGACTGGCACTAACTCCGAGTGACCTTCTGCTATTGGTACCAATGAAGGTCTACATATGCCAAAAACTATTAGTGGCTGCTATACCTCGGGTTGGGAGCATGCGAACTTGTAGATATGCCAAAAACTATTAGTGGCTGCTTTACCTCGGGTTGGATGCATGCGAACTACCTGGCAGTGGTGTTTTGGAAGCGTTGGACAAAAGAGTACCTTCCAACCCTTCAAGCTCGACAGAAGTGGTTGCATAGAGGACGGTCACTAAAGGTTGGGGACGTTGTTCTTAAGCTGACGAAAAACAACAACGCGACAACTGGCCACTGGGTGTAGTCATAGAAAGCCACACGTCTACGAAAAGCCACAACGGGACAACTGGCCACTGGGTTTTAGTCGTAGAAAGCCACACGGACTCAGATGGACTAGTAAGAACAGTGAAATTGAAAACCTCTGCCGGTGAACAGGTGAGCGATATTCGACGAGTGTGTTTGTTGGAGGGAGATGACCACCATACCGTTACTTGATGGAGTTGTGGAGGCCCGCCATGTACTATATTCACTTACCATCCCCCTGTATCAATTGCGCCCCCGGTGATATTCACCCCTTCTGTAGTAAAACGCATGCTTCCGCGTCCTTGCCATACGTTTTCTCCGTTTCACTTTGTGACTGAGTGTCCCTTTATCAGATGGATACATAATTTATGATATTAACCTCGAAAGTGTGACCCATTTCCTCACAACATCGATCCATTCACATACACCCATTCACATGCATACTGAACATGTTTTTGTTTGTGAAACTTGAGCATTAATTACATCGCCCACATTTCCCCTCCTTGCTTAAACATCGGGACTTTATCTGTAATGATATTTGACCCACTGCTATCAAGTTATCAAGCTACTGACTGCAGGCGTGCTGATGAAGAAGGCAGATATCAACGAAGGAACGTGCAATTCTTCGGAGGTCAAGATCATTGAGTGCGGCGAAGTCTGAACAGTTCGCAGGTAGAAGCACTGACAGCAGGGTCTAAATAGGTATATAGGTAGACAAGAATCAATGACCGGCACCAACCCTTTGACTCAAACGAGCGCAGTTAGGATTTTGGTGACCGGTGTATTTCATGTTGGATTTATAAAAGTCCTTCCAAATCCATGATGATTTATGGTGACATAACTCTATCTGTGTGTTGCTTCTCTATTGACACTTCTCAATCACAAACACCATACATTATTCTTTATCTGCTAATTCGATGCCCGGCACATTTGAATTTGGCGTAATCAGAGAACGTGAGCAACTGTTTGGTTCTCTCTAGGCATCATATTTGGCTCACTTGCATGAGTGCTTTTGGCCGCACATTCGAGGTTTGCTTTATTGTACGCTAATTCAGTACCGTAGAACATTACTGATCAATCGTGTTTTATTTCGGGGTTCGTATCGGTTTCGGCTACGCGTCACTCAAGTGCGAATTGGTTGACGTACCCCCACCTCTGCGGAAAGTAGTCCGTAACTTCATGGCTGAAAAGAGCAAGAAAAGGGAAAGGTGCCTCATCTCACCTCCAAGGCGAGAAATTGCCATACGTGAGCTACATCCCAATACATGGAAGTGCGAAAACAAAGTCATGCAACCTGAGTGACCCGCTTCTTATCCTGTTATTTTCCTAAGTCGCTAGCTGGTCAGCCCTCCACTTCAGGAACAAGTTCACACCACCGTTCGTTCAGGGCCGTCTTGAATGCTAGCACAGTCTGCAGTTCTACTAGCTCCACAGTCAGTCCGTTCCATATGTTTGCTACCCTGTTGCTGAGGAAGTGTGATCGGGTTATCAATCGAGACCGGGCCTTGGCTGGCTTCATTTCATGCACGCTTGTGCGGGAATCTAGTGGTAGTTGAGTAACACCCCAACTGTAAGGATTCCCAAAAACGACCGATTTTTAAATGTATTTTAAATTATTGATGTCGAATTCAGCCCAAATGGAACAGATTTTGTTTGTGGCTGATTCTGAGTGATTTATTAAAATTTGATTTGTTTTATTTAGCCTCAATTGACTATGTCCGGAAAGTATAAATCTCGCAAAACAATGGCGACGATCACTTCCACGCTCATATTATCCATGGCTCATGTTGGCAATATGGTCGTTTTGGAACGAATGGTAAAAAATTGTCATGGTTCGCTGGACGGATTCTTGGAGGACTGCCGTGAATTCCAAAGGGTAACTTACACTTCCTTCTACGTTTATGCGTAAATGACAGCGGAACAACTGATACGGGCAAGAAAGTTTAGTCGGAAACTGACTCTGCCTGAGGGTTTTCCGTGCTATCTCATCAAATATTGCTGTTTACATTACAGAAGGCGCAGTGCAAATGAAACCGGGTAATTATACCTCTCATTTCTAATGTATTTTACCAACTTTAGGCTGCAAAATATCGATTGTCCGGCATTTTTTGGTATTCGCGCGGTCGGGATGGAGTACCGAGTGATGAAATGCTGTCTGGTGCACAATCATGACGCCCATGTGGGTCAGCGGGGTCTGTATATAAGTGATCGTCGTCTATCTGGAGAACAGGAAGAGGAAGTGTGTACTTCGATGGACAATTTTAGAAGTACTCGCGAGTTAAAGTATTTCGCCACAAACCGGTTCAAGAGACCCTTAAGTACGGCAGATATTAGATCCATACGTTGAAGAAGGTCTCAGTCAGATCCGCATGGCGATGCGATGAAAGTTAGGGATATGCTGGACAATCAAGGAGAGGTTACATAGGGCTGAACGAAGGCGTCGTTCATCACATTTATTTTGTTCCTTAGATTATGCGGCACTGCGTCGCCAGGTTTAATAATGTTTGTCAGCGGACGCCACGCACCAGCTAAACTGCGGCAGGTATGTCCTTTGGCATGCTATGCTTGTAGACGACAAGGTAGAAGTTTCCTCTACGCTATCTTACCGTATGAGAGCGGTGAGAACTATAGATCTGCTGTGGTAGCCATGAAAGCTATGTGCCAGTCTTTGCACAATGCAAGACTATAGCAGTTGATCGTAGCTTGGCTCAGTACAATGCGTTTTCCAGAATACTTTCCGTCCTCTAATGTGAAATTTTGTCGTTTCCATCTTGTTAAGGATATGAAGAAGAAATGTAACCAGCTATCTGGTATGCCAACGTTCTAAAAGCAGAGCGGCCTTCAATGGATGCGCAACATGGTGTACTGTGATAGTGAGATATCGTTTCGTAGATTCNCGTAGATTCTTAGCCGCCGTAGAACGTCGTAGCACAGGACCAGGTGTTTATTTACGCCGAACTTGGTTACCGTACCGAGATTGGTGGGTAGAGTATGCAATGAGGACTAGGTTAACTTTAGGAAACGTAACTACTAATCGAGTGGAGACGGAAAATAAGCACCTCAAGACAGGCTTCTCTCCTCGGTCTTCATTAGTGGATGTATTTAAGAAAGTGTTACAACGAGTAAGGTCACTGGAAGTGGCGCATGGAATTCACCTTGCTAGAGAGTCCATGAGGGGGTATCCGGCACCCAGCGGTATGCAGTCGTGTAAACCATT